ATTGGTGCCTTGCCATCTTTCTTGTGGTTTGCATCAGTGGGAAAGATGACGGAGATGAAACGAAGCTCGGATCTGAACCAGGATTTCTGTTTGTTCCTTGGGACTGTTTGACCGTCTGCGACGGCGTAAGTCTGCAGGATTATGTCTGGATCCTCTGCCTATCGTTAGAATCAATCAGTCCTGACGAGAAAATCTTACTCACCCCAAAACTGGGTCATCAGCTTATTGTACGTATTGTGCTTCCTGAACGCTTCATCAGTCTTTAGTCGTTTGCCCCAATAATCGATGAAGTTGTCATTGAGTTGTTCAGGCGTGGCGGGCGTGTCTTCATCAGGATACGGTTCTTTTGTCTGTGGCTTTATTCCACGAATGAACTTTCGATACCAGAGTGTCTGGTTGAAATCTTCATAATTCCCACGCTTAGGGTCAGTCATTGTGTCTTGTGTGAGTGATGGGACAATAGTTGCTGCAGAAGTGTGGCAAGGAGCGCTCGAAGATTTATGTTGAGTTCAAAACTCTGGATGTCTACTAGAACAGGGTAAAAGAACACGAGTAGCCAAGTGCATTGGTGAGACAGCTGATACACTGCAAGCAACCTCATCAAGCTTCATCACATCACGTCTCACTCTAGAGGCAATTGAAGCCAGCGATACCGATGTGCAGTACCTTAAGAAATGCTAGTGTGTGATTCAAATATGCGGATGTCCTCTGAGCTGAATCTTCGTAACCAGTTGAATGTGTCCGATTAGCAAACGAGCCTTTTGTGGCTTGCTTCAGAGAGGCTGAATTCCATTTCCGTCAGAGGCTAGGCTCGGCCCATTCATTAGCTTGTGGTTTATGATATGTAAACAAAAACATCGGCTATACCCCGCACACACCAGACTATGGACCAGACATAACCTTTCCCAACATGGGTAAAGGCTTGTGACGACGTAAGCCTCTATCTTGCACTATCAACTCTCGATGAGCGTTTGATTCGTCAACGTACGCTATGGGATGATGAGACATATCAGAGTCAACGACTGTGTCTCAATACGAGCTTGTAAGATGACAGAAAATGCAGTAGGCCAGGTTCATCAGCCGTTCGATCTCAGCCAGCCTCAGAGCGGCCAGACTTGAAAATCTGGAACAAATGTATGCATGGTGTATCACATAGCTCGGAATTTTGTTTCCGGCCAAATGTAGGAAGATTGTTATTTTCATAGTATTCGAGCATGTCCAGAAGATAGAGCAAAGGCATTCTCTTTAGATGTGCACTTCATCTGACAAGTTAACTTCCGCTTCTCACGTACTCCTTCCATCTTCACTGTCGTCAGTTCTCCGCCGAGATGTCTGAACTCAGAAAGCTCGACAAGTTTCATCCTCCTGCCTTCTTGGATGATTTTGAGGGTGAACAGCTTGAAAGATGGTCCAAGACTGTTGATGGTTGGTTCGGTGACGAGATAGCAGGGAGACTCCCAGGGAGGAAGATTCTTACTCAGTTCTTTAACCCTCGTCACTTTGCCTACAACTCGTCTCTGCCTCCTGTACCCATCACTTGGGTTGGCTTCCCTCTGAATGCAAGTTATTCACCAGCCTTCTATGCACTCGTCTAAACGGTTATCAGGTCAGAATCAAGCAGCCTACGGATGACGCTCGATGGGCATACGCGGAGGATCCGGAGAACCAGCGAGCTCCTCTAGGACGCTTGAATCCTGAGATTCTGAAGTTCCATAAGAAGAACGAGCAGACGGGGGAGGATGAAATTGTTGAGGTACCTCGACAAAGGGAGGATCGTTGGGTGATGGACGAATACTTGGAATGGTCTACCAAAAAGGTTGATGGAGATGTTCAGATTGTGAGCTTCACTTGCGAGGGTCCAGAGGTAAGTTGCAGCCAGTTCTTCTTCACAAGGGTGATCTTTACACTGACTGATGACTAGTACTGGGAAGAACTTGCCAAATATAATCCCATTCTGACCGAAACTCCCATTAGGAACCCAGCAACCCAAAAGCATGAGAGGAACAACAAGATCCTCAACATTTATAAGAAGCTGAACCCCGATTTTGCACACGAGATTAAAGGAGATCACCTAGTGGACGACGAAGGTAAATACAACATCTATAACAGGTGGAATGGGCACACCAATACTGGCACCATTGCCCATCTCATCCAAATCAACAATAGCCTTAGTGCCGAGATTGACATCGCTGCTCAAGCCACTGTCACAAGGACCGACTTGGTGTACGGTGAACCTATTACCAACATGCTTACCCTTTGCGGAGATGGATCTGCCTATGGTAACCCGAGCAGGAATTCTGACCCGACGGTAAGAGACTCTGTTGCTGTTCAGTGAGAACTATTCGAGGCTAACGATTTGTAGATTGGTGCCGCAGTCAACGAAGTCTGTCGTCTGGCTCGTGATACAGAGTGTCCCATCCCGGTCACAATCTCTGTCAAAGATCCTGTCGCTCTGTACATGTACGACGCAGACTTCTCGTCCTTCCTGTTAGATCGCACCGGTAAGCGAAGAGGAAACGTTCGAGAAATGGTCCCGGTTCCCGAAGGGGTCTTTGACTGGTGTGACCGTGGTGATATTACCAAGAACATGGGCCTTCATCTTCGCGTGTCTATTCCCAAAGGTCTCAAGACTGATGACAATACCCGCGACCTTAATCTGAGCGATCTTTTTGACCAAAACAACGGAGGTCGCTACGTGCATTATGGAAGCCAATTTGCCGATTACATCTTCATGAGCGTTTCTGGCGTTGTTGGCCCGAAGCCAGAGCCTCGGAAGGATGGAGAAGCGTGGCCTGGAAAACCTCAGCCTGCACTTACCTACACTGAGCCGTACCTCCAGAAGCCGGTTATTAAGCCCAAGGTTCTGGGGAGTCCTGTTCTCTTCAAGATGATGGGAGAGGTCGATGCGGTTGTCACACCTTCTGATCGAAAGAGCGACCCGAGGGTTGAATTCAATGCGGTTGTCACAACTTCTGATCTAGAGACAATGGGTCTGAGAGTAGAAGCAAAGGATGGACCGTTGGGCTATATGGGGATGCCAGAGCCCGGTCCTCCTAACGGGCCGGACTACCAATCCATCACTCCGAAGGCCATCTATTAAGCCAATGGGCAGGAAGCCGAGAGAAATTGCCAGTTGATGGCTTTGACTGCACCCAAGTATTGAACCCTTGAAGTTGTTATTCGTTAGGCCCCCAAAATGGAATTTCTTAAGAACTCGCCAATTTTGAAGCTCATATTTCCCTGACTGAAGCTGCATATAAGCTGATTGGATCAAACGGCTCGTTGCTTTACATAAGATTAACAGTCGAAGACCCTGTATTTCCCATTACACTATCAGCTTACAGTGACGATGTCTGCTATAAACCAATGCGAGATTTCCTCATGGGAGTTTAACTGCATACAGCCATGTTCTTATGTCTCGTATTCGGCGACCTACATGCTTTCAATAGTCACTCTGCAGATAGCTCAGCTGCCTAGCTTAGCTCGACGTCACCTAAGACGCAACTGGAGATCTACGGTTCCAAACTTTCGAGTGACTGATAGAAAGTATGTCTCTCGGCGACTGATCGATTATGCAGAATCAATGATGCAACCAAAGAGAATATTGTGTGCCAAGACGGGATTTCAGCTCGCCACTCCTATCAATGCCAGCCGTTCTGGAACTCGTGAGGTGCGCCTTATCTGTGACCCTTTGTTCATAGCACGGAACGGTGACAGACCTATCAATCAGGATGTGTTTTTGGGCCCCGCACTTTATATATGTTGGATTACTGATTGCTTATGATCGCATACTCCATTTCTCAAAAGTCTCCCTTTGTCGCTCAGCCTGTAGCGATTTCAATTTTTCCCTCTATTCTAATTAAATCTAAATTCTTACTCATCACACTCTCTTATTGGCAAAGGTGACCACTTTTGAGTCTCCGGTATCCATGGAAGACGTTCAAAAGACACCCAACTGGGAGGACGACATCTCTCCTCTCATCAAAGCGCCTTACTGGGTGACCAAGAATCCCGAGGTAATTGGTCAAAGGCGGATGAACGAAATGCTTTACTGGGGCAAATGGGACCTTTCCAAATATGACGACGTTAGAAAAAGGGCACTTGGTATCTATAGACATCTTCGCTCTAAGTCAACGCCTGTAACTCGAAACCCAGATCATTGTTGGCCAGAGAGTGCTCTCGAGACATTTCGCATGTGGGCAAACAATTGCACCGTATCCAGCTATAGGATAGACATATTTACCCCTAATACCAGTTCAACGTGTTAGATGCTATGGGAAACCACGGTTTTATCGGTCAGGTCACACGGCTAGGGATGGGGCGAGGAAGAGAGGATTCAAGACCGCCGAACAACGGCAGATGTCGCAAGCCAAGTGCAACTAGAGTTCTTCCCGCTGAGAGTTTCCAGGATCAATTCACCCGAGATGACAAGTTGAGGATCATTGTAACAGATATAGAGACAGGCAGAAAGGTTGAGGAGGGAGAGTATATGCAAATGTCAGGGTTTGTTCCGAAGCTGGTGTGGCTGCCGGTCAATTGAACGGAATTGTGGGAGAAAGTCTTGGCTTAACCGTTCCTAATTATTTTCTCATTAATCAAGGCCTGAAAGTGACACAAATATTCGAGATCAGTCGAAACTCACATAAGGGATCGGCGGGCATCCGGGCTATGTATTGGCGCAAAGATTACTCACACCATAACACGGCAGGCCGCATGCATGACGCCGGCTAGTTATTGGTCATGAGAACACCATAGCAACTACCATATGCCGGAGGCCAACTGAAATAATAGCAAAGACAACTTGATGTGGATATTGTGTGACCCCGCGTCGACGTAACTGCAGAAAACAAACTTCAACATTGCGGCAAGCCGCCGCAGCGCCCAGCCTGTTCGCTCAATTCCTGTATTGTATAAAGGGCCATGGCCCCCTTTGCTTCCTTAAGATTGACACAACATCTTCTCTCACAATTAGAAGCCTCGCACGTGCATCGACGTTTAAAATGGCAACGCTAAATTCTCTCAAGCGCGATCTGAGGCAACAGGCCGCATCCCATGGATCAGTACATGTATCACCCCAGACCTTATCTGATGCACAATACAGCGCCGGCTTTAGCTTCTTTGAACCAGGTTCTAGATGTACTACATACCGAGACTTCATTCTCCCTCAACTATGTCAGGTCCTCAACCCAATTCTTGGCTCGCGTTCGGGCATCTCGGTTCTAGAGATTGGACCTGGACCGAGGAGCGTGCTTGGAGATCTGCCCCGTGATATGAAGCGGAAGATCAAACGGTACACCGCTTTTGAGCCAAATAGTCTCTTTGCTTTGAGATTAGAAGAAGGCCTTCGATCAACTGAGGAAGCTGCCTTGCCGTGTCTTGAGACGGGTCCCGACGTTAGGAAGGCTCCGTTCGATCCTGAAAACTCACTCAAGGCCCTGGGAGACGACAAGTTTGATATTATCGTGCTTTGTCACAGCATGTACGGCATGACCTCTAAAGAGGACTATATCTGTGCCATACTCGATCTTCTTGACGAACAGACAGCGAACAGCAGAGCCATACTTTTCCATAGACATGGCTCGCTGGGCCTGGCTAGTCTGGTCTCTCATCAAGTCTCCAACTTCCCGATCGGCATAGTTCGTGTGGCAAACACAGATGAATCGCTCGACTCTTTCGCCTCCTTAATTGCAGGCTTTGTACCAAAGTCTGACAAAGTCCTGCAAGAATGGCGGGAAACTTGTCGCGCAATCGGCCGCCGCGACTTTGACGACCTCGTCTTCGCCGCGCCTGATGTCATGATGACCTTCTCGCGACACTCAACCGCGCTACCAGATTTGACTTCACAGTTGCCTTTAATTGTTGGTGACATGCATGTCAAGAACCGGGAAGCTCGTCTGCATTGTCCCGCCTCTATGATCAGACCAGGACACATTCATCAAGTTCAGGAGTGTGTTCGATGGGCTTTGGAGCACCGAACTGCGTTGACAGTCGTGGGTGGTGGACACAGCGGTCATTGCGTCTGGCCTCAAACTGTCGCCATTGACATGAGCGCCTTCAATCATGTCCATGTTGTTACAGGGGAAGCCGGACGCCTGGTCATGGCCGGTGCCGGTAGCAAGACGGGAGACATCATCCGCGAGACCATGGCAAAGGGGCTCACTGTGCCTCTGGGGTCTCGGCCAAGTGTTGGAGCAGGCTTGTGGCTTCAGGGCGGCATCGGTCATCTGTCCAGGCTTCACGGGCTCGCTTGTGACGCTATTGTCGGTGCGCTTGTCGTCAGCGTCAACTCGGCAAAGATTCTATGCATTGGTCATGTACCTGCGCAACACCAGCCAATCGGTGCCATACGCCCAGAGAACGAGGGAGAACTGCTATGGGCTATCAAAGGAGCGGGAACCAACTTTGGGATCGTCATTAGCGTTGTTTTTGCGGCACAGCCGGCCCCAGCGTTCTTGGTCAGGAACTGGGTCATACCGCTGCGTGACGGCGATGAGGCGCAACGCAAGCTTGCCGAGTTTGACCGGGATATTGCCAGTCAACTTTCTCGGCATAATTCTGCTGACGCTTATCTATACTGGGACACTGGAAAACTCCATCTCGGCGTTACCATGTACGAAGCTTCGACTGCTGGGGAAGTGCCTAGAACACCCATGCCTATCCCCACACCCGTGGCCACGATTCTGGGTCCGGAGCACAACAGCAAGATCGTTGACAGCGTCAGCCTCTTTGGGACTGAGATGTACATGTCAGGTATGCACGGCGGTCACGCTGGAGGCAAGACATCTTCGTTCAAACGCTGCCTATTCCTCAAGGATATCGGAAGTGCCATGGTTGCAAACGCGTTAGCATCAGCCGTCCGGACTCGCCCCTCTCCGCTCAGTTACCTTCACCTCCTCCAAGGCGGCGGAGCAATCCGTGACGTGCCGGTATCAGCCACCGCCTTCGGCTGCCGTGACTGGGACTTTGCCTGCGTCATCACCGGTGTCTGGCCCCGCGAGCAAGACGGGTCTGTTGCTGCCCGGGTGGCGATGGAGTGGGTCTACACCGTCGCCGAGACCTTGCTACCGCTCAGTACCGGAGTTTACGGTGCCGACCTTGGACCGGATCCCCGGGATGCAATCCTGGCAGCTAGAGCCTTCGGTTCAAACGGTCCTCGTCTAGCTCGCCTCAAATGTCTTGCAGATCCACGTCGTGTACTTGCTTACACCTGCCCTCTTCCACTGCGACCAACTGAACCAGGCCTCATTATCGCGGTTACTGGGGACAGCGGTGCCGGCAAAGACTACTGCGCTAAGATCTGGGGTGACCTTTTCAACCAATGTGGCAACATTGCGCGTGTTGCCAGTATAAGCGATACCATCAAGCGGGAGTTCTCGGCGGTTGCGGGTGTGGACTTAGATCGATTGCTCAGTGACCGAGAGTATAAGGAGAAGCACCGGCCGGGCTTGACGGCGTTCTTCCATGACCGCGTACGTGAGAACTCTCATCTACCAGTGGATAACTTCCTAAACGTTGTCTACGGCGCTGCTAGTGCGGATGTACTGCTCATTACAGGCATGAGGGATGAGGCACCTGTCGCAACTTTGGGCCACCTCGTGCCGAATAGCAGACTTATTGAGGTTCGGATCAGCGCCGGATCTGGTGTCAAACAACGTCGGCAAGGATTCTGCAATGACACAGAAGGTCGCGATGGCTCACAGAAGGAGGATGGCAAGCGAGCAACGCGTGTAAGGGACTACAGGCCCAACTTGTCTTTCCACAACAACATCGCGGGAAGTGACAATGCGAGAGCCTTCGCAGAGAATCGTCTCTTTCCATTCATACATCAAGACCTAAAACGGCTAAGCGATATGGTGCGTATCGTACCAGACTTCCCAAGTCCTGGCATCGACTTTCGCCACATCCTCGACATTGCCCAGACACCGGGTGGTCTGGCATTATGCATCTCTCTCTTTCAGTCTCACTTCACGGGAATTTGGTCAAATATCAACGCCATTATCAGCTGCGAGGCGGGCGGCTTTATCTTTGCGTCAGCACTGGCGTTGCAGATTGGTCTACCCTTGGTCCCGATCCGAGAGGCCGGCAAGCTACCGCCGCCGGTTGTTTCTGTCGCCAAGTCTGTGTCCCACATCTCATCGGGGCCGAACATGCTAGGAGGGAGAAGATTTGAGATGAATCAAGATGTGATTCGGAGTGCAACGTCAGTTCTGATTGTGGATGACGTGTTCGCGTCTGGAGAAACAGTGTACGCGGTGCTAGAGCTGTTAGAAGAAGCAGGAATAGAGGCTGAGAGAACCAGTGTGATGACTGTGGCTGAGTTCCCATGCCATCGTGGCAGGCAAATGTTACGTAGTCGTGGGTTTGGACGAGTTAGTGTTCAGAGCCTCTTAATTTATGAAGGGCTCTGATGAAATCAGCATTGCAATGAATCCACGCACTACGTGGGCCAAGTTTCCATATAAAATTTAAAACCATCTGGGCGTGCAATGGATGGACAAACAAACAATCCATTGCCATTATCACTATTCGTGCGATGCAACAATGGCTATGATTTGACCATGCCTGAGTCCTGTCGAAAGTGAAACCCTAGAAGGACAACATTGTGAGTGATGTTGTGATTAATTACCTTACATAAAGCATGCTGGGATAACTCATACTTGTATCATACGATAATCCGCAGGACTTCGCGTGAGTAAAGTGCCGCAATCTTTAAATTTTCGTTAACTTCAACTTTGTCAGAACTCGATATGTCGATTCACTTGAGAAGTTTGAGTTCTCTAAACTTTCGTACTGGATTTCGTATAGTATATAACTGTAATGGTCGTTGAGCTCTGTGGCACTACTGAGGGATATATCCTCCTCCGCTAAATCCCGAGTAGAGCTCGCCCAGAATCCATAGATACCGAAATAGATGTTTCCATATGCATCCAAACAAAAAGGACAAAAACCAGTACCTTTGCCACTCGATCACTCAGCTGACTGGTTGCACGTGAGGAGTGCTCAGAAGATGGTTGGGTGGAGCCACCGTCTCTCAGCTCTCTTGCATTCGACTGACATCGACGTAGTCGAATGCCGCCTCAAATAGGTTGTTGCCAGCATAATCTTGCCAGTGGTGTGCGGCCATAGTTCCGGGGGACAAAGAGACGAGGGTGGCAAGAATAAAAATCAAGATCTTGAGTGAGAGTGACTGGAAATTAGTATATTGCCTTCACCGGCGGTGAATGTTGCACTGACCGTCTTTGGGGACAACGATGGCATGCCTTATTGATTTTGTAAGCTTCCACCGGATAGTGGGGAGCTGGTGACTTGCAGAAGCCAGACTTTCCTGATTTCGTTCGGGTAGCACCACACTTCCACTCGTGACCCTGGTACATATGAGGGCACTGAGTATTATAAAACTCATAGTGTCCGCATGTGCATTGGCCTGGGTTATTGGGGTTTTTGACTAATACCTCCTTAACCTTATCCCCCATTTGGCCTGGCTCGATCTCTGACATTTTAGAGCCCGGGAACTTTTATAGTGCAAAGAGTATTAGTAAAAATAGGTGAGGTATCAAGCGCCGTGTTGAGAATCCCGAAGAGAAATCTGAAGTGGGAATTTGATGAAGGGCAGGAAGGCAACATGATGAGTACATGAGAAAACTGCGCCCATCTTGTAATGAGGCAATTGAGCCTTTTCGGTCAATGATAAGTGCCAGCTGAATTTGAACATACTTCAAAGAAGTCATGCCTTGGCTTTGTCTATTGACGGCGCTGTTAGACATGTTGATTAAGAAGTATGCGTTTTGGATGACCATTCTCTTGGTCTGGTTAGTTTTGCTGTGTCGATGACTTGTGCCAACATACAGTACTACGAAGGAAGGAATTGGATTGGCCGCCGCTGCTGGAAGTGGCCAGTCGCGCGAGTAGCGAGGAGACAAAGAATGTTAGACGTGTTCTTCCAACTCCGTTTACCCCGCTCTGTAAGACCCCCAACACTCTGTCCCTGCCTCATTTTCGCCCTTTGTTGACAGCTACAGATCTACTTACCTGGACTAGACCGGTGAGAACCACTTCACCCACCTCGGCCGTCCTCTTTACCCCGAGTATCTATCTAAGGCTTTCATCTTGAGTCATCGGCCCGCTTAATTGCTGGGACTTCCTTCATTTAACTCCCCGTATCCTGCCTCGTCGTTTTTGCGACCACATCAGCAGCCATCATCACATGTCAGCAAAAAATGACCAATCCAGAGCTTCAGTACTGGGCTCCAAGTGGGGCCATCTTTCCCGGAGGGCCCAGTACATGGTACATTCTCAGTGATGACCAGAGAAGAATAATAGCAGTCACCATGGATGGGCAGCAAGAAAGCGAGGATCTAGCCGTGGAAATCCTCAAGAAAATTATCGATACTCTCCCGGCTGATGTGTACGCAATCAAAGTCTCTCCAGAAGGGAGTTTGATTTCCATGTCCAACGACCCCGAAGATGACGAAACTTTTTGCGTATATTATCCGCCTCTAGAGGAGGTCCAACGGCCTGAGGGTATCAGGACAATCATTCGTTCTGAGCTCAAGGAAATTGATCGGCTCGGTCCCGACACTGATCTTGTGTCGTATCAGCCACATCCAAACAACAATGAACCAAAGAAAGTCGTCTTCAAATACTACTTTATTTTCCAGTTCATTCAAAGGATTTGGAATGAACTGAATCTGTGGATGCGTCTTCCTCGGCACCCAAATATTGTTCCTTTCGATCGGCTGGTGGTGGATGAACTGAAGGGCCGCGTTGTTGGGTTCACAAGTGTATTTATTCCTGGCGGAACACTTGAGGATGACCAATCCCGCGTGTTCAAACTCAAATGGTTCGAGCAGTTGACTAATGTCGTGGACGTTCTCAACCTGAAGCACGGCATCATGCATCAAGATATTGCTGCAAGGAATCTATTAGTCGATCCGTCGACAGATAGCTTGCAGCTGTTTGACTTCAACTTCTCGGGCCGCATCGGAGGTCTCTGTTATATCGAAAATCGGAACGATGTCAATGGTGTTATCTTCACCCTGTACGAGATCATTACTCGCGATGACCATTTCAGGCATGTGCCCCACGAGGAACAGAACCCGGACGATGTTCAAGGGCTGTCAACATGGCCCAAGCATCCAGAGGTACAGCTCGACCATCCGGTGTCGGAATATCGATCATATCTCAATCGCTGGGTGAAAAAGAGGCGGGAAGAGAAAGGTATCTCTGTTTATACGGAAGCGCCGGAGCCAATAGACTGGCCTCCGCTCCAAACTCCGAAAAGAGAGTACACCGCCGTTGATAAGGAAGGAAATGAAATTGTCCAGCTGAAAACGGATTGGAGTAGATTACGCCGCAACGAGAGAAAGGAAGGCAACATCACGCTGGAATGGCAACGCCCACCGCGGAACAAAGTTTTGCAAGATGATAGGAGTTAAGTGATATGGGAACAGTAAATCATAAGACGAGTGCAAAAAGGTCACCCAAATAATATCTTCTAGAGCGAGCTCACATTTTGCATTTCTTAAGCCGAATTCTAAACAAACTTAAGTGGACAAGTTATCATATGATACTATTTAAAAAGGTGCCTGATGTCTATTGCCTTACTCGAAACTTGGGTTAGTTCAATAAAATTGAAGTAAGGTATGCCAGGACTGCGTCAAGAGTTCTGGAACTCATCATATTGACTTGATAGTTCTTGCATACCGGCCTCACGCACTGACAAAACTTCCTGGAGGAACTTCTCCTTACGCAAAGGCCCTGGCCAGCCGCACCCATAATACAAGTTCTTGATACCCTAGAAGATGCCATAGGTAAGTCAGCACTCACGTTTTATGCATATGAAGAGAAAGTCACCGGTTGATGCACGTGTACGCTCACCTCCGATCCAGAGTCCCCGCTCTGCAAAATGCTCTTCCCGAGATCTCCCGCCGCAGGAGCCGGCACAAGTGTTAAAGAAGAAATCTGGGTTCGAATCTTGTCAAAGAACTCTTTAAACGAGAGAGCCTTTGCTTTGAGCCACCACATCTGCTGTTCGTCGACCTCAGCAGGCTCGTCGTCGAATAAGTAGTATTCATCCGCGTGAGGATAGACACAGCCTGACAGATGAGACGCAGTGGATCAGTAAACATCTGGCAAGCTTGGAGGGTTTGATTTCACCTCGATCGGTATCAATTACCCAAGTGATTCCTATCTCCGACTCCTCACAAGTCAGGGTGATGAGATGCGGTGGCATTGGACCGTCAAAAGGCGCCAGGCCAAGTGCACAAAACGACCTCTTGTGCCAGTTGACTCGGCGGCCGTTTTCGGGCTGCCAGTGCTCATGTAGGTAGGAAATAGCCATGGACGCGAAATAGACCTCGGTATTCTTTTTGCGGGGATAAGGAATATGTCGAAGTAGTTGAATGACCTTGATGTCGCGACCCAACATTTGCAAGGCGTTCACATTCAGGTCTTCGTCGGACCATCCCGCGGGCTCCGGTGGCCAACGGACATCCTCGGGCTCGAAGTAAGCCATGTCAATCAGCAGTTGATAGTGTTTTTTGATGAGCAATACGAGTTCATCGTGACTGTAGACGAAGTTTTCGGCCTTGGTGGTACGCTTCTTGCGGCGGGTCATGGCTAGAGTGCGCAGGTACATTGCTGAGTGGAAGTTGTTGACGGGAAGATCCACGTGAAGTGAGGGAAATGAGGGGAACACGCGGTTGGAGAGGCGAGGGTGTCAGGTGCACTTCTATAGGCACACACGCCTATTGGATGTAAGGGGTTCTTTGAATGAAACCGACATGCAGGAGCCAGAATCAGATCGAATGATGCCAACAGATGTGCTCCTACTATCCAGCAGGCCTTTATTGGAAGTCGAAACCAAGAGTGGTATTCGCAATATAGCTGCATGTCAACTCAACCACACACAAGGAAAAGTACCCTGTCGATACACTCATATCAACACCATCCACAACAAACTGCGGTAAAATCGTGATCAAAGCATTTTTGTCAGTAATCTGTTTGATGATACAGGTGAGTTGCCCAAACTTCAGTATCTGGCATGGGGCCCCAGAGCAAGAGTTGCTGCGATTGGTGACATTCCTACTTCGCTCATTTCCACCTACTCATATAGGTAGGGAGGTCTGACACGGCTAATATCGCTTTCTCAGAAACTCTGGTTATCGCTATTGAAAAGGTAGGTGTCATTTCAAAGTAGATAGTCAGGCATGCGTTTTACATCCACTAAAAGTCTACGACCGAAACAAAAGAGTCGTACAACTTGCGCCACTCACTCCAATGGTTGAACAAACGCGAGGAATCCGTCTATTTATCGCATCGAGTGCGAGTTGATCCAGGACACAGATACGTACTTTCACAACAGGTAACAATGAGTCTGAACACATTTGGGTTACCCCGGCAAATAAAAAATGTGGAATGGGGTTTAAAGTAAAGCTGGAGAGATTTGTAGCTCTGCGCGGAACACAAGCAGCGCAAAAAGATAATCTCTCTCCTTCCAGAATCGAACTAGAGACCTTTCGATGACAAGGGATGAACCATTACAGTCGAACGTGATGAACCAACTACACCAAGGAGAGGACGATCAAGGCTATGCCTTGCTCGGTGTGGGGTGGTGCGAGAAAGAAATGCCTCAAGAAGCCTGGCGATGACCCACCGTTTCGCCCTCCAAATCCACCTCGAGATTCAGGTAGTGTATGGATTGATCAACAGCATCTCAAACCCTCTACTAAAGGACAATGACAATTTGTTACTCTATTAGTATCTCGAGAGTGGCGGCTTATCACAGCATCTCTTAATCTACTGAATATGATCCCGATGGTGCAATAGATGGACTGAGGCGTCCTATCCTCTGTCAGTCCTTTTGTGGGGAATTCTAAAGTCTGACTAAGTAAAACATGTAAGATTTGAAAAGACGCGCAGGACCGGATCTATCTTTGAACTCCAGTTGAAACCCCTTTCCAAAATTAATACGTATGAGGTTATCACCAGGTAAGTATGAAGCAGTGCATTATACACGGACTAGACAAAAACAAACGTCTGTATCAATTTACAATTGTATCTGAGTCTAAACCTATATGGTAAGATTCATTCCATGTCTGAACGGTAGTGGGTGGCGTCGTTGTATTGGGAAGCGTGCATATCGTTTCCCGCAACTGTTGTGCAGAGGCTCTTGCCGAGGTCGTCTCACATTCAGTTTGGCACCAATACTCCCACAGCGAGTTTGAAGATAGCAATCTGAATATTTCGTGTTATCAATTTCGAAAATAAGTGAAAATCAAAATTTCAGAGATTGATGACCAAGCTTAGTCCCAGAACTTTGGCCCGAGGTAGGCGGTAAAGGCTACATTTTCCCCGCCTCCCGTCGAGACGATTGATGCCATGTTATGCAGGCTTGTATCCCTCTCATCGCCGCTATGTTCAAAGAATCAGTTATTGTTCATGAGTGTGAGCTTCTGAAGTAGATTAGGTAACTCACAAGACGCATTGAACAGCAGCCTCAATATCGTAATGCCCCAAACCCTGCGTCTGTAGCAAGCGCTGGTAGCGACGCACGATCCCGGGCTCGTCGCGCGCGTATTGCCATATAGGCACGTACATCTTGACCACCGGAACTGCGTTGCCCGGACCCAGCTCAAACGTTGGATTAAGCCCACAGTACTTGCTTTCCGGTTCGCGCAGAGACTTTTGCAGTCCCTCTCTATCAGTCAGAGAAACGTCTTCCATATCCATAAGGAGGGGCCAGAGAGTATCTAGATACTTCGGTGAGGGGACACGACCACCCATAGTGATGACACGACGGGCTGAGGCGAGCGAGTTAACATGTGTGTGGGTGTAGACTTTGAATCGAGGCTTCATCTGGGGCCCCAGACAGTCGATGGCAAGGAAATGTATGAGATTATCCTTGCCATCAGAGGTAAGAAATGATCGAACCATTTGCCAGGATGCTAGCAGCCCCTTATCACCACCGGCAAGTCGTCTCAGAATGGACTCTGTGACGTCTAGTAGGTCCTTGCCTGTTGCAAGAGCTTTGAGCTGTGGAAACAAATACAGCTTCATATTAACAGCCGGGCTGCCGCTATCAACGGGCTCGAGATCGAACGCAACGAAACAATTTTGCTGAGGCAGCGCACCGGCCGCGTCACTGCGACCAGCATGCTTCTCAAGTAGCCCGGCCTGCTCCTCTTCAGTGAGGAAGATTGAATCGAAAAAGTTATCCAGTCGATCACGGTCTGCATGGCATGCAGACGCGAAATCTTCACATTTCTTTCGTAGATCCTTTTGCCCTAGGGGGTCATCGACCACATGGCTCTCAGCCAGCGGCTGTACTGAAAACCGTACTTTGGCCTTTTTATGAGGCGCAAAGGCGATGCTTAGCTCGTATGGCCCATGGTTGTGCGTTCCGATGTAATGCGGCCAGTCGGCCGCGCGAGGCGGGTTGAGACGGGGAACCACAACCTCACGCGCAAACTTGAGATAGTGCTCCTGCGACTCGGCTGAGTAGGAGCTCGTCCAGCGTAAAAGCGAGGAGAGAGTGTCTTGGATGGTGGGATCCCATGAGGAGACGAGTGGTTTTCCTTGGAAATTTCCTTTAATAGCGAAGGAGTGATCGACTCTGCTGTAGAGGTTGGAGATATCTTTGGTAGCACGATTGCCGTCGGGGACAATGGTAGACTGATAAGTTTCTGTCATGTTGAGGTTGTTGATGTCCACAGTCGTATTCCTGATCAGCTGCTAGGCATTCGTATCTTCCGCATCCCCTATCACCTCTTCTTTTTGAACGTTTTATATCTATATGCAAGGTCCGTGTCCTCTAAGACGTTCAATCATGGTTTGAGTTGCCGGCAAAGCCGGTGAAGCTAGGGAGGTCGCGACTAGTTGCCGTTTTAGGACTTTCAACACGTCGCCAGCCAGAGGCATTCATTCCGCAGAAAGTCAATGATTTCGAGATGATTTTAGCTCTTTAGAAGCAAAGTTGCTTTTGGAGAGCGATGAGAATTCGAATACGGGTCCGAGGACCCGGTATGCACAAGCCAAACTAATCGACAACGCTTGATAGGCTATTGGAGTCGAGATGACAAAGGTTATTTCTCATGAATGAAACCGAACTCAAAGAGAGCATCCGACCGCACTGTTCTTTGCCCCACCCCGATAAGCCGGCTTGACAGGTCTCGAATGACAGTTCGAAATGTCATGTTGGCTTCCCTGTCATGGACGGTACCAATCAACATGCATCGAGCGGGAGTTCATGAAGGATTGATAAAGCACGAGCAGCTCCATGGCTCCGTCTTAAACACTGGCGTTGGCACACAACCAGCTTTCAGGCTCAAACCATATAAGCGCCAGATTTTTGATGGACGGCCCGAGATAACCACAATATTCCAACGGCTTTTTGGTACTGCGGCTTTCGCTTGTAGTTTTCACGCATTCGTCCACACTCTATGAGATTCGCCCACACTCTATGAGATTTGCCCACACTCTATGAGGAAGCGCCAGCATTATAGCCGCGAACACGCCCTCGGTGCTGCAGTGAAGGCAACCGGAGGATTGCACAACGTGAAAAGCTTCAACCTAATAATAAAGCACCACCACCTTCTTCTTTCTGACATCATTCTCACCCTCTTCAACATCCAGTCCCTGATAGAGTTACACACCCCCATATAATCAATCCGGATCACAAACCTTTTCAGCACTAATCCTAAGTTCAGATGGCCTCCTTACCAACCCTCACCCCCAGAAAGTCGAAGCTCTTCTTTTCTGTCAAATGTCCTCGGCATCTTCGACCTCAACGTCCTCGCCCTCGCCCACTGTCCTGATTGATCTTCATAAGCGGATACCCTTGCCCCGTACCTCCCTCAGTAATGACTCTATTTCCCTGAGTGTGATGAAAAGAACCTAACACGATACATAACACCATGTATGAATTCTCAACTTCAATCAGCATCTCTATTCTATTACTTCCCTCCTGCGTCTCGTTCGTCCCATAACCCCGGTAATCGTCAGCGTGCAATCGACTCTTCTCGGAATCGCTTGTACGTCTTCCGTCCGAGCTTCGAAATAAGTTTCACCAGCCCGCTGAGTAAAAACATTCACGGGCTCCGAAAGCTTGTACCAGACGCCCATCAGTAACATGCCAAGGCCCATACGCTACGACAGAAGCAAAGCAAGGATATAGAAACTATCAGGCTGTTCTTATCTTCCAATACTTTCCTGGGTGAATAAGCCCAAGACGTATGGGTAAAGCTGTTGTGTCGTTGATCACCACGGTCAACCTACGATGACCTGTCTAGTATGCAGGCTCCTGAATGCATCCGAAAACCCATCCTCTTCATCCACGTTCAGATCCGCATATAAATCTGGTTCGCCCATAAGCAACGTCTTACCCGCGACTTTCCAAGCCCCCTTTTCATTCTCGTCATCTGCCGGCACCAACAACCAAGCCCTCATCCATGCGCAGTCTTCATGCAGCAGATCTGTAGGCACTGCCACCCGCATTCGAGTGTCGATATCACTCTCTCGGAAGTTCTTTGTGAAGCTGAAGCCCGTCAATAGCGCGGATTTGCCATCGCGTGCACACGGAAGGCGCAAGGCCATCGTCGAAATCCAGTAGATGGATCGAGGATCCGTAATCCAAGTCAG